CTTTCAGGAACTAGCTGGGCCTAACTGGGCTTGTTAACCAACTTGCAAAAAAAAAAAGTAGAAAATGAGAAGATGAAGGCCACTGGAGCTTGGAACTTGCTCAAATCTATAGCAAAGTACAGAGAAGCCCAACAACAGAAACTTCAGGCACTAACAGCAGACAAGAAAATGCAGCTAGAAAGGTATCGAGTTGAATATGAGACTTTGTGTAAAGTAGAAGCAGAACAAAAGGAATTTATTGACCAATTTAATTTTCAGAAATGAACTGAAAGTAGGAAGGCAAAAAAAGGTGCCCCCCCAACCAAAGAAACCTCTACCATTCTACTGACTTGACTGATGACCTAAGTATATCTTAAGATGCTGTGATGTAGTTCAGGATGAAGGCCCTGGATTCAATCCACGTACTGCCAAAAAAAGGGGTAGCATGGGGTTGGGGGGTGGGGATGTAGCTCAGTGCAAAGACCCTATGATCAGTCTCCAGTACTATGTACCAAAGAAGAAAAAGAAAAGGAATTACAGTGGCTAGAGATGACCAAGAGAGAAAAAATTATTGTAGACATAAGAGATGTGAAATTCTGTGTTATGGGTCCCACTGTAACTGGTAGAGGATTGGTGGCAGGTGTCAAGCTTGAATATATGAATGCAACTGATACTTTTGTTAATGGAAGAGTTGAGGCCACCTGAGGAGTTATACTATGTCTCCTAAGCAAACGAAAGAGTCAGTGAATAGAAGACAGCTAGAAAGAACGAGAAATCTGGATAGAGAGAAATCAACAGCAGCATCAAAGACTGTAAGCACAAAAGACAACAAGAAGAGACAGCATGTACAGAGCTAAGTAAGAGCCGATGCTCACCTCCAAGGGTACCTGGATTTGCTAGAGAAGGAACAGCTTTTCAGAGATCCTAGAGTCTTTAACATAGCAGGAAGAAAATATGACCCGGGTCACAAACTGACAGCTTCTTCCAGAAGAGATACCTACGGGGAAGGGCTGAGGGGATGGGGCCACTCAAAAGTGTGCTACCGATCATCTTGGTGGAGCCTGAGTCCTTTCCAAACCACTGATTCACCACCTCCATCAGCTCTGAATGGATAAACTAGAAAACAGAGCCTAGAAATCATCACTGGTAGCCTTAAAGACTTTTCCAGGATTTAGACTTGAGACACATTCTCAAGATATGTCATTATGTATATACAAATATTTCAAAAGCAAAAAAAAGAAAAATCCAAAATACCTTTGGGCCCAAGTATTTCAGATATGGATGCTCAGCCTTTAGCATTTAGTTCAGGCTGTCACATTTCAAACTGGAACAAGGATAAGGCAATCTGGCAAAAGATCTTATTGGGATGAACTGGGAATGTTGTCCGGAAAACAGAAAGCTGATGGTCCACATAGCTGCTCCTGAGTATCATAGGGCTCTCTTAATAAGGAGGAACTGGAAGAGGAATGGAAGCTTGTACATGTTTCTCTAATGGCACACATTTCTGCTTCCAGCTAACTCTTTTCTAGCCTTCTGGTTTCTTCTTCTGTCACATTGGGAGAATGAAACATTTTGTATCTTTAAGAAATACTACTTCATATTTAACTGCGTTTTCATAAAATCACAGACTCTTAATTGGAAAGAATCTCAGAGCCCTCTAGGTCTCATGGAAACATTTTACTTTGTAATGTTTTTATAGAGTTTAAATATATTTGCATTTTACATGACTGTTTATCATAAAATATATGCCTATAAAAGTACAGATAAAAGAAAGCGTTCTATTCTTCCCCACTTCCTTTGCCGCCTTGCCTAGCCAGGTTGACTCAGAACAGCATTTAACAATTTACTACAAAACATCAAATCACCTACAATGATTAAATATGTATGTGCATATAAACTATGTGGAGTGTTTAGATATGACTACACTTCCTGTATTATTCTGCAACCTATTTTTTTCAACTTGACAATGTATCATGGGTTTCTTTTCATATGAGATATACATTTATTTTGAACATAAAAATATTTCATGATATATTTTACCTATTCTTGATACTGAGATAACTCAATTTTATATTATTAAAATAATAATCCTTATATATATAAAAGCATATATGTCATTGTGCTTGTGCAGGAATTTTGTTAAAAAAATTCCAGGAGGCTGGAACAAACTACCTACATTTTCTTCATAGGGTGAACAAAGTATAAAATATCAATATAATGAACATCACCCACTGTATGAACATACCATGAAGTTACTAAATAGAAGGACATCAGAATGTATCCATGCTCTATTAAAGGTAACACATTTGTTCATGATCTATTTAGAGATGCATGCAAGTTGCAGACCACATTGGGCACAGTTTCACTGAATTTAAAAAACAGAACACTACATCAAAAAGCTAACCACCTCAAGGAGCAGAAGACTGGATGGGCCGGGGTGGCTCTTCCACTTCTTTTCATATAATTAGATATAATCTTATAGAGAAAGACATGCAACAATTGTTAAGTACTAAGATTATGGGAGATTTTTACTTTAAAAAAAATAGAAAAATTAAATTAAGACTTTTTTATGTTGTTTATGAAAGTCACAAAAATTATAGAAATAATTTTAACATGAGTTAACTGGAACTCTCAACTACTATTGGTAGGAATATATGTATTTTAGAAGACTGCCCTGAAAAATTATAGCAAAATCTGTTTATACTTTTGTCCTAGGAGTTCCACAGTTAAGAAAAAAACATATAAAGATATTTATCACAGAAATGCTGACAACATAAAAAAGACAGAAATTGCCATCAAGAAATAGCAAGTTAAGTATGCAAAAATAAAATGTGTATTTAAAAAACAAGAACATTTCTGTACTAATTGGCAGAGACTTAATATAGCAATCATAAAAAGGTTACAAATGATTATATGTAATACTACCTCGGAGAGAAGGAATATGGATCTACAAAAGATAAGTAATTATGAAAGGACAGTCTGGAAATGTTAATAATTGTGTTCTTTGGGGACAGATGTATGAGCAAATTTTGCTTTCTATTTTGTTTGTAATTTTTGAATACGTAAGTGTGGTGTGGTATTTAAAAACTTATGACATTATCCTACTATGAAAAATACATGTCATCTTTATATAATCAAGTTTTTGAAGACTCTAGCATTTGTACAATGTTTTTCTTCTATCAACTTGCCATTATTAGGATATGTGCATTTATAAAAGAAAAAAATGGCCTAAATCCCTCTACTGGTGCTATAACCTCAATTGATTACCAGCACCTCTAAGTACACTGTACAATGACTGCCTCTGAATTCCTTCTTCCCACCCAACACACAGCCCACCACACAGCACTGCTACCACTCTACACCACCCAGAGTAATATCTTACAAGGAACAAAGCTTCAGTGTTCAATTACATAAGAATACCATCCATTACCAATTACCAACTGACAAAACTCAGAATTTTTATTTCAATGAACAGCTTTTGTTTTCCTAGAAGACAATAATCAGTGTATGCATAAGTATGATATACTTGGGAAAATTGCAATTTTTAAAACAAGAAGTTCACAATATCCATTTAGTCTTGAATTTCCCTAAATGGTGTCCTTTGTAAATTGGATGTAACTTTCTAAGACAGAGCTTGGAGCTCATCAGCCTTTCTCAATACAAAAACATCTGGCTTCCACAGGGAGGAAATAACAGCATACCAAAACTGAGGATGGCTTCTGACATGAGTCCACCTACTTGATCAGTCCTTCCTCTGTCTGCATACAGTGCCCTGCAGGCCACCTCAATCCTAACACCCTCCCTATGGCTTTAAGTAGTAAGATGCCAGAAAGCATGTGTCAACACTACTCTTAGAAATTATTCTCAGTTACTCATCTCAACCCAATCAGATTTGAGAAGTTGGCTTTGGAGAT